CTGGATGCTGGGCTGAGATGATTTTGCTTTGTCTCCCTTTGTCTCTCCTTGTCTCCCATGGCGTGTCTGGATGCTGGGCTGGGATCACTTTGCTTTGTCTCCCCTTGCCGCCCCTTGTCTCCCATGACATGTGTGGATGCTGGGCTGGGCTGGGCTGTTTGGGGTGGATGCTGGTGTAACTTATTGCAGGCTTGGAGAAAGGGCCAATGCATGAGAACCAACCAGCCTCGTGTTCAACTACATCGATGCGATGCTGTCACTGATGTTGAACAGAAAGCGCCAGACCAACTCCATTTCCAGCCGCCAACTTCACGGAAATCAAGTGCACACAAGTTTGTGAACGTAGAACCCAAGTGTTTTTGCTGATTGTTGGCCCAGAAAAATACGGCAAGTAGCAGAGGCACCTTCGCCATTCGTGGTGGAGCTCGTTGCCGAGGCATGCCTGGGGTTTTGGCTCTGGACGACCTTGCACCCTTTCTGTCTAGGATTCTTCTGATGTTGAAAGTGATTATGTTCTTTAAATTTCGGAAGATGTACAAGGTTCATCGTTTGGAAAAAACAAGGCACTATATATATTCTTTGTATGTACTATCATATTATATGTGACTGAAACCACCGAGCTCAAGCACCGCAGAGAAGGCGGGGGAAACCAAACTGGCCATGCTGAAGTTCTTGAGTTTCCTTCCCCTCTCTTGGGCATGCAGCTATTTTGAGATTCCATATCAAGCAAATGGAAAGACCGCATATCAGCCGCATATCTGATTCCGAAGACCATGGAGCTTTGGGATTTGTTTGGGACTACCGAATATAGCATCGAAGCCTTCCCTCGAGGGCACGGAAGCAAGTTTGGTTGGGTTGCCCCGATGAACATTTTCCACATTCCTCCAACAAATTTTGAACTGAAGTTTCCTTTTGAGGGCATGAACGAGGTAGGTTTGACTATCTCGGCGCTCTATTTTGAACAGTCTGTCTATGAGCAGTCGCAGCCTGGAAAGCCTGACTTATATTCCTTGGCTGTCGTTCCTGCAGTCTTGGCAAATTGCTCCAGTGTAGAGGATGCCATCCAACTACTGGAATCCGTGAGCGTGGCTCCGATTTTGCCCAATGTTCCTGCCGAGGTGATGAAGACGCTCAGTGGTTGTGGAATATCTTCAGGGAAAGCGGACGATTGTGGAGAACCACCCGAGAGTGATGACCAATGATCCAGACATTCAATGGCATTGGAGAAATCTCAACACACGGGTGGACCTGAGCCCAAACTATCCGCTGCACAACGACTTCATGCAAGTGAAAGTGGATGACGTAGGAGTCGTCCCCCGTCCAATCGGCCATGGCTGGAATTTGTTTGGGCTTCCGGGCGACACCACCTCCCCGAGTCGCTTCATCCGCCTTTTCTATTTGCGTGCCTATGCCATGAAAGTAAACCCCGTGACGAGCTTTGATGATGCCGTTGTGCTAGGAACAGCCCTTCTCAACAATGTCTTCATCCCATTTGGCCCTGTAGCTGCCGATCCGCGTGCTATGGGGGATGGCCCGGAGTTCACGGACTATGGGATCCTGAAGAGCACCCAGGAGCGAGTGATGCTAATCCGAGGCTATAGAAACACCCAGTGGCGAAAAAATCGATCTCAAGCGACTGGACTTCTCAAAAGCCCATGTTTGGCCTCTTGAAGATGGGTCGCTGGGGATTCAGGACATCACAAGTGGAAGCGGTGCCCCCAAACGCTCGGACCTATGACATTATGATGGGAAAGACACAATGACAAGCGATTTTGTGCAGTTTTGTATCATTCCTTTTGCACTGTGAGCATTGCTCCGCCCGAATGGGCCTGACAGCTCACGGCCAGGTGCCTTTTTCTTTGCCTTAAGTGCATGATATTGAGAATCGTTGTGACAAGAGAACAGTATAGAACAGTCCCAGCGAACATGCGAGAGGAAGAAAGATATTGCGCATATGGCACAATTTACATAGATCAATTTAGAGTGTCAAGTAGTTGCTGGATGACATGATGTAGAAAAGTGCATGTTCTACAATGCCTTGCAGCTCTACTGTACTAAAGAACAATGCCAATATCCAGCGTGACATTTGTTGATTATTTTGTCATTCTTTTTGTGGGGCGCCTGGGGGCGGTCATGTGCAGTCCAACTGTCCAAGACCAGTGCTTTGAGCAATTTTGGACCCTAGAATATTATTAGAAGCTTCTAGTAGTAAGGGCATCGCTACTAGAAACAAGGGCATTACTACTAGTAGCTAGAAGCACTTGATTGTTTGGACCCAAAGATTTGGTCAAAAAGAAAGTGGTCACTACATGTCACTACTAATGTGCTGTGCTATTTGCATGAAGGCTCGCGAGACCATCCTCAGAACCTACGAGGCTGGAGTGGCAGCAAATCGAAAGGTTTTGCCGTGCTGAGCTTTACAGGGCCAGTGGCAAGAGGTTGCCAACAAGCAGTCATGTTCTCGGATCACTGTGAGGGCGGCCACAAAATATCTTCCATGTCGCTATCATCTATGATATTCTATGATATTGTTAAGTCTTCCTCGCAAGACTATTTGCCTTTGGGAACTGATGCCATTCCTCAATAGTGGGCCAAAGCCTAGGCTTGAGACGATTTTCGTCAAAGAGACCCCTGAAGAGCTGAAGAGGCACCGATACACCCAACTTTGAAAGCACAAGAAAGGTCAAGCTCGCATGTGATTGACTTGGTTGGCAAGTAGCAGGAGCACAGTAGGAGGCATACTGCACATGCCTTCTTCGGGAGAAGTGATCAGCTCAATAGATGTGTGAAGTTATCAACAGCAGTGTACTACTCACCTGCAATGACTTGAGAGCACAGTTCCACCTCATGCACAGTCGGCTGGAAGGAGCCCTCAGTCAATTGAAATTTGCTTGTGAACTCTACCGCCTGCGCTATGCAGGCTCAGCAGCATGATTTCTATTCCCAAGGAGTTCTTTGATGAAGGCCTTGAGCAAACTTGAGCAAATGGCATTGACTGTCAACATACTCGTAGGGTGGAACAATTTCCTTCCGGTTGATTTGCAAATATCAGGCGGTACACTACCTTCACGATCCTGCACGCAACAGCACTGTATAGCAAGCGGATGCAAGTGGACTCAACCCAAACCTCAAAGTGTATAAATTATTTATTTATTGTCACTAGTAGCTTCTTGTTGCTAGTAGTATGGCCAGGAGCCCCTAGTAGCTTCTTGCTCCTGGTAGTAAGGCCAGGAGCCCCTAGTAGCGTCCTTGTTGGTATTGACTCAATCATACAAGCCTGAAAATCTCCCGCCCTCAGGCGGGGGCAGCTTCCTTGAAGAAGCGTGAGCTAGCTAGGAGCTTCCTCTTGCTGGTAGCGAAATACTCCCTTAAGTAAGTAGGCGCTTACTGAATTACTGTAAGGGCTGGCTAGAAAGAAAGAAAAACACAGAGATCATGTCACAAGTGATTGCGTTCGAGACTACGAGTACCTCCGTATCGTGCAAGGTCCGGACCCAGCAGAGGAAGGAGGCACGACAAGCTGTATGATGCCACACCAGGTTTTCGATGCCTTTGAAAGGGGGTGCCTTTCCATTGATTCGCATGGATACACCCTATGATACACTTGAGCCGTTTGAAAGCACACTGTGGGCCATTGAGAGGGCACACTGGAGTTTGCTACCTTTCACGAGCCCTTGTGGATATGGGAGGTTTTTCTTGTCCTGACACATTTATTCATGTGTATCCTACCTTTTGCTTCCGGCAGACTCCAGCACTGCCAACACCTCTTCCGCAGAAGCAGCTGCTTGGGAGGCCGCTTCAGTCTGAATGAATTGTAGCTTCATGTGTGTGTATGTATATATATATATAGTATACATAATTACATATAACTCGACTCATACTCATTACAATGACAAACTTGGCCTCAATTGATTTCCGCTTTGCACTCCAGTAGATATGACCCCTTTTATTGTTGACTTGTTGCCGTTTCGCAGACACTGTAGTGCTTTAGCCTTTAGCATTGTGCACTACAGGCAGTTGCTGCTTTGACTTTGGTACGGTCCACCACTTCCTTCTTTTCGGCTGCGCGCTCCCATGAAGCGCCGATTGATGAAGGTTCCGTGCCAATCGATAATTTGGCTACGTCACGTGAAGTTTGACAAGAAAGATGCATTGAAGATTGTCATTGTGAATCTACACAGATTGAGCGAACATGCAACTGTTTGCATGTTTCGTGCTGCCACATGCTGCTGAGTTATTGTTCTATCTGCACCTTCGCAGCCGGCACATGCCTCAGAGACATCCAAGGCTTCAGCTTTTTTGGACCATTTTGGACCATGGTGCAGGGCTTTTGGGCTACTTTCCAAAAAGAGGAACATGTTCGGTCACAACAGCTTTTTTCGTTGTTTGAACCAACATGGCTCTCTTGTTTGAACATGCAGCTCAGGCACCAACCTTTGGTGGACGACTCAAGCTAGAATTGCAGCGCACGCGTCAAGGCGGGCAATACATGTCCAAGGTGTTTCACCCAGTCATCTGGGTTCGCTAAACAGACGACTCAGCAATCAGACGCTTGTGAGCTTGTTTGGAGCCTTCAGATACCTTGAGCCTTAGTATTTTTGTTTGATGACAGATCAAATACGTTGTCGTCATCTCTCCAGAATTTCATCAAACAAGTTAGCTCCCATCAAGCAAGCTATGAGACAAGAAACGTAGAGATTTGTTTACTTGTTCTTTGCACATGTTGCAGTGTTGCATGTTGAGTTTGCCATGTTTGCTTTCATGCTGCTTTGAGACACTCCCCGCTACATCCCGCTACTCTGTTTTGGTGCAATGTTGTGCTCTAAACACTCTGACACTGCCTGCGTAAGCACAAGCTAGCTACGGTATCATAGGGTGAAGTTATCACAGCAAGCTTTTGCTTCGACCCAGCTTGGTCAAGCAAGCAAGCACTGCTTTGATGAGGCCAACTTGGAGGTAGTGCCAGGATGGGCAGTCAGTTGCCTTGATCCGAAGCTTTTGTCTTGTTGCTAATAGCTTCTTGTTACTAGTAGTAAGGCCAGGAGCCCCTAGTAGCGTCCTTGCTCCTAGTAGCGATGCCCTTTGCTCCTAGCAGCTTCTTTGTCTCCAAGACTTGACCTTGACATGTGGGATTTCAACCTTGGACTTGTCCAATGCGAAAGTGTTCTAATAAGACCAACACGCTCGTGCTGCTATAAGACCCATGTCTCCTATACAATGTTGTGTCCAATTCGATCAATCTTTTCAGGAGTGGCGTTGCTGCTACTGCTGCGTTGCTGTCCAAGCGTGCGGAGTCAACTGGAGAGGACATGTGTGACCAGCGATTTAGATTCAGCATGCTTCGATTCGCTGCCCCCAAAAGCCTTAGTCACTTCGGACAAAACAACAACCGTCTCCTCCTCAGCTTCAATCTTGAGTAGTCTGTAGTCCTTTTGTTCTAGGACTTTCTCTTGGCCGTTGACGCTGAAGGCGTTCCACCCGACAAGGCTGTTCATCAACATTTATTGCTTGAGGGTCATGCAGATTTGACTTGCAGGCGAAGGCAGCACTCCTCGCAGGGTTATATGCCACCCAATAATAGGATTGGGTTGGATTGACAATAAACATGTTTTCTTGACTTGCGGCCTCCGCTGCTGCCACCGCTGCTGGTGGTTGCTGACATGAAATCACCACCAGCTGCAAACGTGGCCAACAAAAGAACACACTAGCAACATATATGATGTATACAGTGACAGCAGAATGTTGGCAACCTGACAACAACACCCAGCAATCTCCAAGAAAAACACATGCTTTGTGTGTCTCCTCTTTTCTTTCTGCGTGCGTGATCATGCTTCTCGGTGCATTCTTTGTGAAACTCGAATCGCTCGAATCTTTGTCATGCTTCAACCTTTTCACCGGCTTCAGCTTGTCAAACAAAAAGGTTCCAGACACTAAGTGAAAAACCAAATATTTTCACGTGACCCGTGCTGCTCTCAAACATTTTTCAGTAGCAATGCCGCTTTCTCACAAAAACTACGTGTAACGAACAACGTGTGTCCAAACAATTGACTTGTACAATCATGTATATTGGCAGTGACTGGGTCTCAAACTGGCAATCACAACCTGTCGCTTCCACAAAGCGATTGCTGCAAAGGCGTGGTGTCCGATTTGCCAGAAATATATACAGCGACTAACGCAATGAAAGAGATTCTTGACACTCGTGCAGCAAAATGCTTCACATCACTTCATTGTGACATCAAGTGTTGGAGTTTAAGTTTGCCTGTCAGCAGTTCAGAGACTAAATGCACGACCACGGCCCTTAATGTGAGTGACAGCTGACAACCCAAACCATTCAAGCACAGCACGCAGCATCCTGTTCTAGGTGCACAGTTGCGTCAACTTCAACTTCCTCTCCAACATGAGAAGAGAAAAAAACAGTGCGAAACAGACGCTTGCAATAAACAAATGCAGATGCTGTAGCCCTTTCCTCCGCACTTTTGTGCGGGTGCTTAGGCCATCATGGGCATAACATTCTTCACAAATTCAGGTCTTTGTATGACGCACATACTTCAACACCGACAAGACCCTGGTCTCCCTCAATCCCTCGGGTGGAGACATTACCAGACTGTAGCTTGGACTGGATGTATGAAGACCTGTGGGCCATCAAGACATAATCGTTGAATCGTTGATCAAAGTGTTAAGTTCCAAGTGCTCGTTTCACCACGGAGGGGGTGTTCTTTTCAACATGTTTCTCCAAAGTGAACTATATATTATATATTATTGTTTGCCAACCTTTCAATAAAGCTCACCTGGGTGACATAGTTATATAATAGCCGAAATCCTCATTTGATGTGCAGTTGATGTGATTGTAGAGGAAGTTGTGAAGGACATGCCTTGAAGTGTGTACCTTGAAGCCCTTTTTTGTGATCGAGAAATCAAGAGCGATTTGTCCGCTTGGTG